AAGAATAATGTCTTTATTACAAAAATGCTGAAAAACCGTGAGTTGTTGCCTTAGTTATTTTTTTATTGGCGAAAAACTGCGAACTCGGCAAATTTGGTTGCACAACTTCCCTTTATCATATACACCCAGCGACACCGATGCCAGCCGACTGTGTACAAAACTGGTAGGAGGTAATACATTTGGGGCGAAAGTATTCAAAAATCAGTTTTTGGATATTGCAATGGCAGTGGTGGGCCAGGATTTTTTTCCAATTAGTGACGGCAGGACCTACCTGTGAAGTATGAACAAAGCCGTTGCTGGTGAAAAGTTACCCCAACTTTGGGGTCAAATTTCTCGGTAATGAAAACAGATATCAAAAATTCAAATGGTAACTTTGTGCCCACACTCAAGCTGAGTAGAATGAGCTATGTTTGAAGTATTTTATACCAAATTTGTAGGAGGAGATACATTTGGCGCGAAGCTATCCAAAAATCAGTTTTTTGGCTGTTGCTATGGCAACGGTGGGCCAAAAACATTTTCCAGATTTTTCCTTATAACTAGGGTTAAGGTGTGACCTACCTGCCAAGTTTGAACGAAATCGGCCAAGCCAAAAAAATCACAGAAGAAATAATACGTGAACACTGGAACACTGGAAATGTACACACACAGACACACACACACACAAAACGACAAAAGTGATTATAAGGGCAATCCTAGCGGAGCGGATCGCCAATAATTTTGATTTAAAAAAGTGATGACAGAATCTCGGTATTTCCATTTTCTTTTCGTGGCGTAAACCCTTAGGAACTATACATGCAAAGTGTCACTGTTATTGGCTTACTGTAAAATGACTAATTTTCATTGGGTTTAAATTTCGCTGATTTACCATTTCAGGCATATTCAGTGGGTTTTAAATTCACGGTTGTATCATTTAGATAATGTATTCTATGCTAAATTTTACATAATTATTCACTGGGTTTTAATTTAGCGCATTTTCCAGTCAGCGAAATAAGCAAAATTAAAACCCAGTGAATAATTAATCTTTTTACAGTATATCGTTCATGACGCCAAACAATCGAACGAGGTCCATCAATAGGAAGGGTGGATACTTGTGTCGCGTACCAAGCTGGGGTGTTATGTCATATCGATACTTCCAAATGAATATAGAATTAAGTTAAATGACAGCGTATAGTAGAAACAATCCGGACTTGTTCAACTGTTGAAAAGCAAAACAATTTTAAATTGAGGTCACACAATTAACATGATCAAGTTCAAGAACGCCGGGACACATGCTGTAGATTGGTATTCAATTTATTTCACTCTTGAACAACAAATGTTAATACGAAATGAAATAAGGGCGAAAAGTGTATACGTAAATGGGGGTTACATGCGTATTGCAAAACGCGTCAAAATCATTCCAAAATGCGTAGGTTTACGGTGACGCAGCATTGACGTCACATTTAGAAAAAAAAATGTAGCAGCGTGGACTCAGGTAAACGCAATTTGGCAATTAAGCACGCTGCATGCTGGGGGAAGTAATAAAGATCGACGAAGTTGAAATCATATCAGATATGTTCATTCGTAATAGCGGGCGGCACACAGGCATGTTAAGTCGGGTACTCAGTGTGCGGTGGGCCTTAGAAGAAATGAGCCATACGCCAAATTGACGTACCGCATGGGTATGATTTGTTTATGTTGTTGCTGTATTTTGGGGGGCTACATTTACGAAGTTTTCAATAAGCTAGCTAGAGTACGGTACATTCACATACCCCTTTCCGTATCTCGCGTTGGTCAATTACTATTTACATAGCATCTTAGTCTTAAAGAATGAAATAAAAATAACAACATTACTACACCGTCTCTCTAATTCTTTCATCTTAATACTGTAACAATAATAACGATTACAATTCAAAATGCACATGGTCTACAGAGATGAATTAATCATTGTTCAAATCAATAATCTGGTCGCCGTGCACGGCAGTGACAAATAACATTCGCGCTCGATATTTATTAGAACGAAGAAACTGAAAATTAAAAGAAATTAGATTACGTTATTATCTCCCAACAAACATGTTCGTGCTTGTCTTCGGGTGACGGTCTAGGGCGGGATTCATAAACGATTAATAAGTCAGTTTGGGTCCACACATACAGCGTTCTGATCATAAAATCGGGAAATGTGGGACAAAACACTGTACATGTATATTCATTGGCAATTGTAAACTGTCCCTCCGAATTTGTCACGAACACTAGGCATCTTTCACAATATAGCAAACAAGGACGGATACAGTAGGTCCGGTTTGGAAGGGGTTGCACCTTTACAATGACGTCATACACCACTGTATTATGGGAAATAGGTGTATATGAGAACGGATATTTCAGGTTCAAGTAAATGTGTTACACAATTAATAATAAAATATGTGAAAAAAGGTTATGTTATGCACATCAAGACGTATGGTAAAAAATGAATGAATCAATAAATCAACCAAATAAATAAATGAATAAAAAAATAAAATAAAATAAAATAAAATAAAAATAAAATAAAATAAATAAATAAATAAATAAATAAATAAATAAATAAATAAATAAATAAATAAATAAATAAATAAATAAATAAATAAATAAATAAATAAATAAATGGAAAACTAAGAAGGGCGGTGCGGTCGAGAACAACAATGTTTAGTATGCTGCAAACATAATTGTAGGACAATAACTGAATTATTATAACAATTTTATAAAACTAAGACAAATAATTTCATACACGATATGTGTCAATAATATTGCAGACTCTTTATTGCAATTATAAACAACACTAAAAGCTGCTTGTGTCAAGAAGCGCGTGACAGGTATGACTATTATTATAACTACACAGTGTATGTTTATCATCCCTACAAAAACGGACATTATTCACCACACCTGCTTCAATTACCACTCTGAGGTCAAAAGATTCAACACTCCATACCCCCCCCCCCCGGCGAATACATATCCTCATGATTACGGAAAATGGATGTTACTATGAGACGTTTCTCGATCAATAACCGACTGACATTCTTCGTTAACAGCGTGCCATGACCTTGCTCTCTACAGTAGTGTGGTAGAAGAAAAAAAAAAGGGGGAAGTTAAAGCGGGGGAGTCGTCACCTACGCATGCGTCAGGTGGCCATAGCGTGTAATTGTTTACAAACAAGCGTCTACCCATGAGCCTTTGCGTTCGTGTGTTGTTATCGTCGCTTGGGACTCAATTCCCACGCTTGCGCAGGTGACTACCCCCCCGCTTTAAACATTTGACTGAAAACCAAAAACACAAACTTCTTTATATTCAAGTACTAATATTAGCATATCTCTTGTTCATATCCTACATTCGGATAAAGGGCAATTCAAGCTAACACACCAATAAATTAAGGTATCGAGTTTTTAATTTACTCGGTACAATATATTAACACGAGCCACGTCGTGAACACGTGTCAAACGTCGCACGACGCTCCAGGCCGATACAACAAAGCATGTATATATAGAAATATAACCGATTTTCAGTGATTTCAGAAGTGTG